GTAGTGTAAATCTTACCTAGAGGGGCCAGACAATAGGAGGCTGAAACCGAAATCATGACTAGTTCTGATTTTGTTTAATGCCTCTAATGGTCGAAGAGGAATGACGAATGACGAATGACATTTTAATTAAATTTGTCAATAAAGCTAATTTAGGGGAGGACACCCAGACCTGTAAGAACTGATGGAGCAATACAGAGAAATCCCCAAGTCATTTTTACAGGACTGAGGCATTCAGAAAGAATCGGTGTGACACTTTGCCAACCTAAGAATTTAGGATATTGCTTAACAGTATATAGCATTCGTAGAAGTGATGTGTCCAGGTTTTCTTAGTTGAACCTAGTTCTATAGTTAGAAGTTAAATTAACCGCAGGAAAACATTTCATCACAGTTTCTTACAGGAATGCAAGCTTATTTCTCATCATTAGTAGCATCCATCCACTCATCAGTAACTGAGTGCCTTTTATGTGCTTGGAATAAAAAAAAGACAATTTCTGTTCTTAAGGAATTTACAGTTTTGATTTCATTTGAGAGATAGGCACTTAAACACGTTACAACATTGGTAAACCTTTTGAATGGAATTAAACACAAAGTATATAATTTTATTAATCAAACCGTGTCCCCCACTGAGTTACTTGCCTTAAGTAATGGGGCCGTGACTTGGTTGTTTTGGATTTCCTGCTCCTTAGCACAGAGGTGGCTCCTGGTGACTACTCAGATTGGACCGACCTTTAATCTCACTTGGGGCACGACATTGTCATTAACCGGGAAGGAGAATGCAGAAAGACAAGGGGGTTAGGGAGTGAATATAGCTACTGAGATTGCAGCACGGTGGTTTCAGGTATTTTAAAGTGAGATGCCCATGGAGCACGTGGAGGGAGTGTTTAGTAAGTGGCTGCATATAGACCTGCAGTTTAAGACTGAGGTTTATATTAGAGATGTTTGCCGGTCACCACTACTTAGGTGGTGGTGAAAATCAGGGGAATGATTGATATCCCTCAGGGAGAGAATGTGGAGTGGTGAGAAAAGGGGAAATGGCCCTGAAGAGAACCCATAGCACGTCGGGGTGTGTGTGCCTGTGATGGGCAGTGATGGAGGTAGAAGATGAGTTGAAAGAGAAACCAGTAAAAGAACCAGGGGAGGACCTTGAATGAAGCAGGAACACAGCAAGGGATCGTGGGGTCAGAGATGCTGAGGCAGAGAGTTCACAAAGGAAGGGTGGACACTGTTCACTGCCGTGGGACAGTCGGGTCAGAACTGCTTAATGTCAGCTGGGTTAGGCACACGGGGGCCACTGGTGGCCTAGCCTGCACCTTGCCGTGGTACAGGTTCACGTCTGGTTCCTGAGAGGAGTCGAGGAGGAAGTGAGACACAGTGTGTGTAGGCTGCTGTGGGGGGAGCCGGGAGGGAGCCGGGGCTGTACCCATGCGCTGCACGTTTGAAGTGAGTGTGTTATTTTCCCCACACAACTGGAAAGTTGTGCATGTTTATAGGTTAGGGAGGAATGAGGTCGTGGGAATGTGAGGAAGTAATTGAAGGGGCAGGTATTTACATAGGAGGAGATGAGACCGAGAAACCAAACTGGCGAGTGTACGAATTGCTTTCCCACCTGGCTTTTGAAAGTTCATACTCAGAACAACCCAGTGAGGACGGCAGATGGTCATTTATCATTCTTCCTATTTTAAAATTTTGGGATGGGACCTCAGGAAGTTCCCATTAAATTCCAAAATGCCAGAGGGAGTTTGTGTAAATCATAATTCCTGCTCTCCTCAAACTGCACATCGTTAGGTATGTCATCCAACGGGTTCACGTCTCAGTGTGACGCTGCTGTCATCCTCACATGTCCCTGTGTTTTCTAGGGTGAATTATATAGTGGACTCATTTCCTAACCGGGAGATGTA